GGCATCCCTAATCCAGAACGGTCTCATCTCCAGATCCTCATCTTAACCCTGTCTGAGATGAAGCTGTTTCTGGGGCAGGTCCCACTCAGAGGCTCCAGGTGGCCAGGTATTTGTGGGACACTGTCCACCCTGTGGGACTCCAGGCCCGGACTTTGTGACCTGCTCCCCTTCCCCACTGCTCCATTCTGGAACGGCCCAGCCTGGCTCCTCCTATAGGGCCTTGGTACCTGCTGTCCTTCCCAGCAGACATTCCCTCTGCTCCTTTCTGACTTCTGTGCCACTATGGCTCCTTCCCTGGCCACCACAACTAATGCCTGGTCCACTCTGGACCTGGCTGTCACCTCAGTGTCTTTGTAACATTTGGCACACCCTGGATTCAGCTTACAGCTGGCCCTTGCCCAAGGAACAGTCCTAGCACCCTGTGGGTGCCACAACCCCAGCAGACTCAGTCCCTTACAGGGTACCTTACGTGGGCACCGCCTCATGTGGCTGTAAACTGTGCAAGACTAAGGTACCTGGTGCAACCTAAGGGCTAATGTAAACTGCTGCCACACTGTACCGTTCAGGGAGTAACAGCAAGGGGAAAATCTGTGTATGTTCAGCCCCAACTGCTTTTTTTTTTTTTTTTTTGCAGTACTTGGGATTGAACCACGGACACTCACACTGAGCCACATCCCTGGCCCTTTTTAAATTTTTGACACAGGATCTTTCTGAATTGCTAAGTTGTCTGGGCTAGCGCCGATCTTGTGATCTCCCTGCCTCAGCCTCCTGAGTAGCTGGGATTACAGATATGCAACACCATACCCAGCTCCTCCCCCACCCCTTTCCTTCTTTCTTTAAATAGCTTTGACCCAAGGTTTGTAGACCCCAAGCACTCAGATGCCATCCAGGCAGAGTCACCCATCCTTCCCTGTCTGCCCTGTAGCACCCTCTCTGCCTGGCATTGAGGCACCGGCAGGACTGGTGTTGGGGGCCCATGGCTCTGGGGGCTGCACCTGCTCCAGAGGCCAGTGGCTGGGTAGAGGAAGTGTGCCATCACCCTGGCATGGAGCGGGGGCAGCTCAAGAGCTGAACTCCAGGCCTGGGGCTGCCCACTGTCAGGACCTCTTTACTGTGCCCCCGAGCTGGACTGAAGGCCATAGCTTCACCCCTGCCCTCGGGGATGTGTGGCAGCTCAGCCTCCAGGCCCACTGAGGCACTGCCCTGGAGAAGGAGGGATCCCATCAAAGCCGGAGGCAGGCTGGGCAGCCTCATGTGGTCTAACTGTCCTCGCGCCAGGAAGCATCTGCTGCCGTTTGCCAGCCTGGGCCAGACACTGGTGTGGGCAGGGGGGAACAGCATCCCCTGGCTCCAGGTTCCCTGCTCAGACCAGGTCCACCCTGACTGCTCATCCAGTCTCTCCGGGTCTTCATCCCATCGCCTCCTGAAACGCCGCTCCCTCCTTGGCTGGAGGGACTCTGTGTGCTGCCCTACGGCAGGCTGTGCCTGAGGTTCTCCCCGCCACCGCACCCAAACCTGGGTGGCTTTTCTGGGGAGCCCTGTCCTGCCATCATCAGAGGAGAAGACAGGACGCAAAGATGCCTAGACCCCAGATATCCGTCATCCTGCTGCAGACCTCGGACCTGGCCAGTCCTCTCCTTGAAAGGTGGGGCTGCTCCCCTCTCATGAGGGCCTCTGCCCTTTTGCTTCAGGTGTCCCCTTCTTCCCCATGCGTCCCTCTTTGTGGGACCCTCCTGCCCCCACCTCTCTCCTTGCTTCCCATATCTGTGGGCCCCCACCAGTGTCCCGGTATCCTCTTGTGTCCTCTCAGGGTGTCTACCTCTGAGCACGCAGGTGGCCTTAGGGACCCTAGTTGGAGGTATGGTATGGATGGACGGCTGGCTTCTCCTAAGTGGCCATTGGCCACTCTGTCCCTGCTGTCCACTGTGTGTGCCAGGCGGCTCCATCACAGTGGGCCCGGCGCCCATTCTCCTGGTCTGTCACCTTCAACTCTTGGCACTGTTGGCTGTCAGACTCTGACTGCACAGTATGTGGCCTGCCTTTCCCCATGTCTGGGACCGCCACAGTGGCCAGATGCTGTCAATGCCGCTTTCCAGGGCCCAGCCCAGTGCCACAGACCCAACAGGATTGGGCTCAGCCCAGGGACGCCCCAGAGGAGTTTGGTTCCTCATTTAGTGGCTGTCGGTTCTAGGCTTGCTCCCTCTCTGGCCTTAGTTTACTTACTGGCAGATGGACACGCAGATGCCCTGCCCTCCTGGGGTTGCTGAGGCCTCGTGCTAGGCATATGAGTGGGATGGGGGGACACGGCACCCCATAGTAACCACAGGGCACCCAGGTGCTGACTTTTCCCCAACTGCCCTGCCCACTGCATTTAGAAACAGCTTTCCGGGCAGGAAGCCCCACCCCTGGTGACTGGTCTCAGAGCTGGGAGTTGGTTTGAACAGGACTTAGACACCAGGTTCCCATGGGAACAGCTTGGTGCCCACAGGTGCCCCAGGAGGGCTGAAGAACGTGCTCTACTAGAGTCCGGTATGGAGGCTGCACTGGAATCTGCCACCAGAACATTACTCTGGAGGACACCGCAACCAGCACCCAGTGGTCTGCTTCACCAGGACCTAAGTCCCCAAGGCAGCCAGCCTCCCACCCCAGCTGAATCTTGGCTGGCAAGAGGAAGCCCGGGAGGCAGCCTCTGGCTGGAGCTAGGGATACGCTTTCCAACAATTGCCCAAAAATAGCCCAGGCAGGCTCACAAGGAAATGAGTCCCCACCACGGGGAGGGACAGCAGGGACAGGAGGACTGCTAGGCAGGGAGGAGGAACCCAAGGCCTCCTGACCCCGAGAGACACCAGGCCTTCTAGTCTCCCAGACATCTGGGAAACAGCTGAGAAGGCAGGGCTGGTGTAGCCATCTCTGCCCCATGAGCCCCAGGAGGGAAGGTGATATGTGGTGAGAGAATCTTCTCCCCAGGGCTGGAGGATGGCAAAGAACTGGCCAGGGGACAGGCATATGACAGCTGTGCCCCTCCCCTCTCCCAACCTCAGTTTCCCTTTTTGTACAATGATGGTGAGGCAAGCTGCTGATACAGCACCTGCCCCACTGTGCTGTCTCAGGACACAGGGGCCCCCTCCCCCTTTGCCACGACCACTCCAGTGGAGTCTGCGTGACAATGCCGGTCACCTGGCAGAAACCAGACCAGAGGTATCGTCCCCACGGGGTTAAGCCTCCTGGAAGTCCTTGGCACACACCGCATGCGAAGTCAGCCGTGAAGAGAATAGCTGGCCTCTCTGCCTGCAGTTTGGGGACATTGGGTTCATTTGTAATTCTGTTCTATTTTGTCTTTATTACTATTTGTTCATTATCTGTAGAATTATATTCTGGACCCAGGAAAGGTTAGGAACAATTAGATGTTCCTAGAGATGGGGAGGTGTTGGGGCACAAGAGGACGGGCGGCCAAAGTGCTGACCCTGAGCCCCGGACTGTGAAGTCCTGAAGGTGATCCTGAAGGTCACATGCTGAAGCCAGTCCTTTGTTTTACAAACTTCCCCTTCTGACTGCGTATAGGTGTGGTCTTACCTTGACTTAATGGTCTTAGCTTTTGTGATTGTATATAGGTGTGGTCTCACCTTCCTTGTGGTCTTCTTAGTTTTTACAGTACTATTGTCTATCTTTCTCATGCCTGCTTGTGACTGGAATCACTCTTGAGGTGTGCCCTTGAAACTAGTATATATACATCTAGAGTTAGAAATAAAATTGCAGCAGCTACTACCTTCACTACTCAGTGCTGTGTGGTTTCTGACTGTCACCGCCGAACCTGCTCCCACCTTTCTGAAGATCCCTGTTCTCCACGTGAAATCCAGTCTTTGCTCCCCTACGGTCGGTAGCACCCCTTGCTGCAGATTCCTAGGGCCAAGACTACATGTGGTGGCCACACAGGGACTGCAGGGGAGGAGGACACAGCCAACCCCACTCTAATATGGCTGTGGCTTCCTTGTCTTTGAAACACTGAGAAGGCACAGAATGGATCTGTCAAAAACAGAGTGCAGGGCAGATAAAAGTGGGGTGCCAGAACGGGCAGGCCTCGCCCCTCTACATGATTCATCTCTATGGAACCCTGCAGTTCTGGGGAACACAGTTTGAGAACCAGTGTGCGAGTTGGGAGAGTGGGATGCCAGGAACAGGGAACCCTGCAGCCCCTTCCCAGCATCGTGTTTAGCATGCCACACACATTTCAGATGTCTCCCCATAGGCTGAAGCTGTGGGACTGGGGTGGGGTTCTTTTGCTCGGTGGCTGGTGAAGTCCCCAGATACTTGTGTGTCTAGTTAGTTGGCTGTGGTGGAGAGAAGAGGGCAGAGGTCAAGGGTACAGCTGGATGGGCCTGAGAGGATCCTTCTGCCAGGCAGAGCCAAGACTCTCAGTCCCACATGCTCCTGTGCCCCTTCCTTCCTTCTTGGGCCTGGAGGGCTGGCTAGGATCCTGATCACTGACCCTGCCCCACCTACACTGCTCAGGGCAGACCTGACTACACCCTCTGTCTCATCATCCCCACAGACCGTTAAAAATGTTCCCAGCTGGGCATGGTGGCCCACATCTGTAATCCCAGCATTTTGGAAGCTGAGGCAGGAGGATTACCACAAATTCAAGGCCAGCTCAGGCTACATAGTGAGTTCAAGGCCAGCCGGAACTACCTAGTGAAACTGTCTCAAACAAAACAGAACAAATGTTCCCCAGGTTACACAGGATTTGGTTCCTTGTGAGGGCTTGTTCACATTTTCTTCAAAGATCATACACACGTTGGGAATTAGAAAAACATCATGGGAGTAGGGCTCAGTGCAGAGTGTGTGCCTAGTGTGTGCAATCCCCAGAACCACCAGAAACCTAAACAAGAAACAAAGAGCCTAGAACAGGGGTGCATGCCTGGAATCCCAGCTACTTGGGAGGCTGAGGCAGGAGGCCACAAGTTTGAAGCCAGCCTGAGCAATTTACTGAGACCCCGTCTCAAAATAAAAAATAAACAGAGGTAGGACTGAGTCCTCAACCCCTGTGGTCTGCTGACTCCTGGTAGCCACACAGTACCAGATATGATCCGGATCCCAGTTGGTGTCAGAGCCGGAGAACTGGTTGCTGTGAGGGTTGATGTTGCTCACAGATCCCAGATTGGGGAGACAGCATCACTTCTGGGTGAATCTGCGGGGTGTTTCTGGAGGAGATGAGCAGCTGAAGCAGTGGACAGGGGAAAGAAGATCTGCCCTTGCCAGTGTGGATGGCACCACCCAACCCAGGGAGGGCTCGGAGAACAGAAAGGGTGTTGATTTCCCCTTGGTCACCATCGGTGCTGGTTCTCAGCCCTCTGGCCTCAGCTCAGGGCTGTCCCAGCCAACCCCCTTTTCTCCGTCCTCCGCCTCTGCCTGGGGTTTCATCCACAGACCCAGCAAGACAGTTCTGTTATCTTCCCTTGCAGGGGATCCGAGGACCCAGTTTCCTGGGCATGATGCACACAGCAGATAGGACCTTGCTGTGCTCTGCAGCTGGGCACTGAAGAACGAGCCGTGCTCCTAGGTCAGCAGATGATGCCTTCCCAGGTGCTGCCCCTTCCCAGGCTTGGGGCACAAACACTGGGCCTCCAGCAGCTCCCAGAGGGCCACGTTCTACTGACTGCTGTGGGGACTGTGGGATTCCTAGGGTCCAGCCTCTCCAAGGCTCCAGCCCCCTTTTTTGGGGTGCAGTCTCTGGTGAGTGCTTATGGGGATACTAAGGGTTAGAACCCCAGAGCTAGGGTCCATTCACTTCTGCTCCTCTCCTCCCGCAGGGTGACTAACATTAGTAGCTTTAGTGACCCTCCCTCTCCTCCAGCTCAGCCACAGCCACCTGAGTCCTCCCCTTTGCCCTCACTATCTCCAAGCCTCTGGAAGAACGGAGCAGGATGGATCTTGCCCCTCCTGGGTGCCCAGCCTTCTAGAATACCTGGATCTCTCTCCTCCAGGCCCAGCCCTTCACAGCTGGGGTGAAGGGTCAGATCCTGCTGTGCCCGGACCAGGCCCTGTCACATGACCTTTCCCAGGGCAAAGAAGACAGTGGATCAGGGCGTAACCTACTCCACCTGGCCACAAAGCCATAATAAAAGGGAATGTGCATCCAGGGCAGCCAGGTACTCAAACCGGAGATCCTCCTGGCTCAGGCTTCTGACTAGGTGGGGATCATAAGCTGCACCACTGCACCTGATTTAACTGTTTTAAAAAATTGTGATAAAATTTGTATAATGAGCTGGTGGCGCCTGCAGCTACTGAGAACTTTCCTCCAGCAATCTGATATATTAACGACAATGGAAAAAACAGAAATCTTATATTGAAGAAAACATCACCATGGAATAAACTGACATCATGCATGAAGTCTCTTGACATGATGCTCTACAGTATTCCTCCTGGAAATGCATCACCTGAATTTAATGAAAAGATCGGATGAACCTAAATTTAAGAACATTCTACAAAATAAACAAGTTCTGTTTCTCAAAGATGTTAACATCAGGAGGCTGAGGCAGGAGGATCACCTCAAGTTTAAGGCCAGGCTGGGCTACACAGTGAGTTCAAAGCCATCCTGAACTACATAGCAAGACCCTGTCTCAGAAAACCAAAAAACAACAATAACAACAACAAAAAGTTGTACTGCCATAAAAAGTAAAGAACTAAGCAACTATTTTCCAGGTTAAAATAAACTGTAAAGATGGCAACTGAATGGATCTTCTTGTGCTATCTTCTTTGGCAGAACTGCAAAACTATGAATAAAGTAGATAGGTTAGAAAAAAATTTTTTGTTTTGTTTTGTTTTGTTGGTTTTTTGAGACAGGGTCTCACTGTGTAGTTGAGACTGACCTGGAACTCACTATGTAGCCCAGTCTGCTCTCGAACTCACAGGGATCCTCCTGCCTCAGCCTCCTGAGTGCTGGGATTACAGGCGTGATCCACCATGCCCTGCTGAAAAAAATTTTTGTATAACAAAATTTACCATTTTAAGTGTATAATTCAGTGGTATTGAGTAAATCTGTCATGCAGTCATCTCTACCACTCATCTCCAGAACTTTTGAATTATTTAATGATTTTTTTTGAAAATTAAAAAATTCTTCACCTACTTAAAATGTATTCCTGGACAACCACATACAGCAGCATAAACCTGCAGCCCCAGCACTCAGGGAGGCTGGGGTAGGAAGATAGAAAGTTTGAGTTCTGCTGGGGCTACTTAACGACAAACCTTGTCCCAAAATTTAAAAAATAATAACCCGGGCATGGTGGCAGATGCTGGGAATCCCAGCACTCAGGAGGCTGAGGCAGGAGGATCACTGCAAGTTTCAGGCCAGCCTGGGCTACACAATAAGTTCAAGGCCAGCCTGAACTACAGAGTGAGACCCTGTCCCAAAAAATTCAGGGGAAAAAAAAAAAAAAGTCCAGTGGTAGGATGCCTCTAAGTTTAAGTCCCATTATTTAAAAAAAAAAAAAAGAAGTATTACTGACAGCGTGTGGACAAAGTGTAGACCCAACTTTATCTTTTTTGTTTGTTTTTTGAAGAAGGATCTTGCTACATGGTTCTGGCTGGCCTTGAATTCACTATGTAGCCCAGGATGGCCTCAAACTCACAGTGATCCTCCTGCCTCAGCCTCCTGAGTGCTGGGATTACAGGATTACGGGCCACCAAGCCCGGGTCAACAGTATCTTTTCATAAAAAGTCATCGAGTTGTTCCAGTATTACTTGTTTAAAAGTCCAAATTTATGATCCTGTAAAAAGCCCATTGTAAAGTCGAGAAATCTGATTGAAAGAAGTTAAAAGATGACCACTCTTTCCAAAAACATTATGACAATGTATGACCTGTGGCCTCTAACTCTCTGAGACAGGGTCTTGCTAAGTCAGTAAGTTACCCAGGCTGGGCTCAAACTTTCAGTCCTCTTGTCTCAGCCTTCCAGAGTGCTGGGATCGTAGGTGTGCACCACCACACGTGGCTCAGTGTTATCTACTTCTGCCTCAGGTTTTCCAGGAACTAATAAGAATAAGAAGATGGTGCTTTGATGATAAACTCTTAAATGTGAAAAGCCCAGGAAAGCATTAGAGAAGTGACACATGAGGAGCCAAAGGATCCCTGCCCACTGGGAGAGATCCTGCAGAGAGGCCGTTCATCGGGTAATCCTGGCTCTGCCTGGGAGGACCTAGGAACCGCCTGTTGGCAAGGACAAAGGGAAACACCTTTCATGCCCCTAAGGGACCCTTCTGAAAACATCCTGTCTGGGCAGATGGGCTGTTGCTGCCACTGCCAAGTTGATTTGTTTACCGGCAGCTGCTTGGTGGAGGAAGGTCGCACAGCACAGTGTGACTAGTAGTCCTCAGTGTGCCCAGCAGATAGGGCTACCCTGCTGGCTGTTTGGGGAATGGCACTGGGAGCCAGGGCAGGAGGATACTGGACGATCCCCACATACAGACCCACCCGGAGACTCACAGCCTGCATTTGATCCCAACATTGCTAGGTTGTGCCTCATCCCCCAGTGACCAGGGGAAAATGGACTCCCCAAAGGAGAGCTGGAGATTTAGCTCAGTGGTTCTGCCACCTGCTTTGCACAAGCGCAAAGTCCCGAGTTTGATCCCAGGTACCAAAAAGCGGGGCGGGGGGGGGTGCGTGTGTGTGAGCATGAGTGTGCGCGCACCCCATCACTCCCGCAAGGGTGCGCCCTCCTCCTCATTAGCGGTTGGACCAACATGGCTTCATTAGGCAGCTCCTCCAGAGAGGGACTCAGAAATGTGATCAGTTCTCCCCACTCTAGGACTCAGGAGGTCACCCCCAGTCCAGTCCTTCACCTGCAGCAGGAAGAAGAGGTGGCTCCCCAAGGGCTGGCCTCAACTGGGGGCCTGTCTCAGGACCTGCACCCATCCCAAGCCTACCTTCATTGCGGCCTTCCCTGGGACCTCGCTCCCCTGACCTTGGACAGAGGCTGTTGGTAGACAGCCATCTTTTTTCAAATCTTCATATGGTCTTTCAAGAAGAGTTTTTCTTCACCCTGGCTTGGTCAAAGGTGGGGAATTAGTAGGGGTGACCAGGCTCCCTTTCTCCTTGAGTGCCCACAGAGTGGGTTGTGTGACCTGCAAGGGTCCCCAGAGCCCAGCCCACTTACCCTTTGACCTGTGACCTGGAGAAATATCAGCAAGCTTGGTTCCACGCCATTTGCACGTGGGACACCCCAAAACGATGGTAGATGACTGGGGTATGGGAGTCACGGGATAACCCGGTGCAGGGCTGTGAAGGCCCCGGGGGCTCTCGCGCCCTGCCCTGGGAAGCACGAAAGGCACAGGTGCGCCTCGAGTAGGACAGGGCCACCGCGCGGACTATGCAGTCCCCTGCACGTGCGGTGCAAAAACGGGCAACCCAGCCAGAGTGGAGCAGAGAGGAACCGAAGACAGCGAGGGGCGGAGCGCGGGGCCTGGCAGCGACCCG